ACATTAATCAGGGCATGAACTGCAACTGGCCAACAGGGTGAATTTATACAATTTCAAAAATTGCCTTGTTTCTAAACCATAAACACCTAGTATTTCCATTGGTTTGTTTTAGGACATGCCCACATACAAACTTCTAAATGTACTATTGTATTGCTATTGTTCTGCCATTGCCAAGCTACTGTGCTTACCACAGGGTAACCTGTCCTACTCCCTCCAAATTCCATTGTGATACCAATACATAAAGTAGTAAAACATTAGTGAGGAAGGTCATTGTAAGTATTGTCTGCTCATTTCCACTGACAGTGAGAAACTGAAATGCCCTAGATGGATTGGCCTGGGTAGGAATTTATACAGCACTCTTCAATTCTACAGTTAAAACTAGTATTGCTGTGGTTTAGTTTAAAAACAAATAACCAAAACCCTCCAATTTTCCCTTTTAAAATAGTTCTTGGCCTGCTTCTAGGACTAGCAGGAGAAATAAAAACATGAGCTGCTCAATTTGACAAAAACACACATAAGAATTTGCAAAATGATTTATTGAAAAAGCTGAGAAGCTCAAAAGGTTTGGAGACTGGGCTTGGTAGGATAAGCTCTTAAAGCTTTTACACCAAGCTCACCCAAGTGTTTTGAACCTATGACAAACCTACCCCGTGTCCTGTGGTGACGCACTACTTACTCTCACAGTCCTGGAATGGGCCTCTCTGTCCTTTGTTCTCCCCTTGTGTGGAACTAGTAGCCAGGTTGGCTACTTGGGAATATGTTTGGAGTCAGACAGCAGGAGATATCTTCTTTTCTGTCTCCCTCCCCTACCACCTTTCTGTCCGAAATCGTGACTTCCATCCTCTCTACCTCTTTTCCTTGTTTTCCCTTCACATCTGCTAGCCTTTCTGTTCCTCTCCTGACCATCACCCAAAGACATCATGTGCCTTAAGAACGGGTGGGAACTGATGGTACTAATCCCACTAGATATCTGGCTTCACTGTCTGACTCCTCTCCCTGGTGGCCTCTGGCCACTCTGCTCTCGCTGCCCATGTTTCTCCCTGCTGAGACCCTGCAGTCAAGTATGCCGAACAAGGATGGAGGCAGCATGTGTACAAGGAGCTGGCTAGAGAAGGTAGCTGACCTCCTTTCTGGCCCAGAAAAGCACCCACAGCACAGAGTTGAAGTGAAGATCTAAAATACCAAAGAGCTGTAGCAATGCTAGGCAAAAGACAGAAATCAGGACACACAGTCAGAAAAGGGCCCTGAAAGCTCAGGGTCTCCAAGAGACTGTCTCATTTTAACTTTGTGGTTGCAGGGTGCTTAGGTTCTTTTTTTATACTAATAATACGTTGGAATGACACCATGATCAAAATGCCATGGAAACAGTCCTATATTCCCTACTTGGAAGTTTTGAAGATGCAGACAAAGATTTTCAAAAATGGGTGCCTAAGGTTAGGCTCCTACATAAATGACCTGGGCTCACAAAAGTTCAGGCTGTTTTGTTTACAGCGGTAAAGAAGGATTTAGAAGCCCATCTTTAGGCACCCTCCCTCCCCTTTTTGATAAAAATCTTGGCATAAAATACACATTATCAGTGTTTGGCTGACTCACACCATGATGTGTTGCTATTGTTATATAAAGAGAGACCTCTTTCTGTGTTCAGGTTTTATTTAAAAGCCAGCGTATCTTGAGGGCTGATCAATTGCTAGGTCAATCCTTTTTTGAGAAAATGCCCTTGTGACCACATCTGTCGGGAAATACTGATGTGGAAAGCCCCATGTGAATCAAGTGGGTGCTGCCAAACCCCTGAGTCAGAGGGGCTCTATGAGGGGAGGTGTGTTGCTCTTTGCTGCTGAATCAGGATTAGCCTCTGCAGGAGCTGGGCCTGATAAGCCCCCTGGAGTCTGCAAAGCTGAAGTCATAGAAATTCACTTTTAAAATATTGAATATGGCTCTAAACTATTAATAAGGGAATGGATTGACGGGCGTGCATCTTAATGTTTAACGTGTCCCTCCCACCACTCTAGCAAAGCATCTGTAGAACTTACAGTGTTTTCTACCATTTTGTGATTTTTATCACCTGTTTTTGGCTGCCATGGTGCCACCTCTTAATCAAACAGACATTTGAGGTCCCTGCTGCTGCTGATCCTACGCACAGAGTGCTGCTGATTGACGTGGACCAGAGTGCCCAGCATGGCTTGCCTAGGCTGAGAAAGTGGGCGAATGCCCTCGCTCTTGCTCTCTCCTTCTCCAAGTCAGCCCTGAAACATTTGAGTATCTAAAATGGAAGCTCAGTTATTTTCTATGGGAATTATTGCTTGTGTCAACTGCGAAGGAGAAAGTTTAAAAAAACCCACCACATTATAAGGAAAGCCTCCAGAAAGCCAGAGAGTAGGTGATAAAAATAGGACATTTCCATTACTGAATTTTGAAGCTGTATGACGAGGTTTTTTCTTTTTCTTTTTTTTTTAAGGTAAAAATTACTTTTTATAAAGCAAAAACAATTCTGGATTGATTGTAATTGATTTCTACCTACAATTAATAAAATTGCATCTCATCCTGCTGCTACCGTTTAACCCGGAACTAGACAAGGCACTGGCTTGAGAGCAAGCTTTAAAGTACTTGTAGTGGTTTCACAACAGGCAGTGAAACACTCCATATGTTATAGATCCCAGTAAGGCAGAAGCCTGCTACAAAACTAGCACTGTAATTCTTGAACACACTTGCTCTTCTTATTCACGCAAACTTAATCTAAACAGGGCATGCAATGTCGCAAATAGTTTTGAAAGTCCTGTGGGTATAATACTGGTTATGTTGGAAATTAAAATATGTATTTTTGTTAGAGGAGAGAGTATGCAACTATAATGTATTTTAAAAGTAATAATGTGTCTAATATAAATTGTGTGAGTATAGAATATAAAATTATAGAATGATAAACTAATTCAGCTATAATTGAGCCCCATCTGGTGGTGGTATGAGGGAACAACGGATAAATTATTGCAATGGCAGAGAGAGATTGTTCACACAAGAGTTCAAACCTTTTTTCAAAAGACTTAAGTCTTAACTAATAAATGTGAGGCTAATGAAATAGTATCACTTTTAATCATAATATTCCTTTCTGATAGTCATATCTTAAAATAATTGTCTTTATAATTGTGTGTGTGTGTGTGTCTCTTGAGGGTTTGTGAATACGATCGCTTTGGTGAGAAATACAGATTTAAGTGTCATCGGGAGCATTGCTTGCCTGTGCTGCACTGACTAGGAAGCCTTTTCGCTCTCTCTGATCCAAAAAAAATGCTCGACAAGTTGTTACATATTCCAGAAAACAGATTAAATTATTTGTGTGGACTCATTAATGTAATTGACAAAGCTTGGCTATCCCACTTTTTGCTCCTCGCTAATCTTTCACTTTCATGGGACTTTTCCCCCCATCAGTGTCCAAAAACAAACACACAAAGAAAGAATGGGAATCTCACGGTCTCCCGAGTTGGCTGCTAGAAGATAACAGGTAGCAGTCCTCTATTAAGACCTCCGGGTGCAACAGTGCTTCAGTTATTGTTACACAACATGGCCAGAGCGCTGTGGGTGTATGGGCATGTGCATGCACGCACATTATCTATTTGCGGGCACACATCCAGTAGTCACCGATTAGAGTCAACAGTTTCCACAGTGGGGTCAGGGATTCCACAGTTCCTTTCTGTCCTAAATATACAGAAAAATTGTTACGGGTAGGGTATCACAGAATGGTAAATGTTGCCTTATTGTGCTGAGCTGTGCCATATGAAATAGGCATAATAAAAGGGTAGCAAATGAATGAATAAAGTTTGTAAAGGGCAAAGAATGGCAGATGTGGGAACGGAAGTTCGGCTTTCCTATCTCCTGCCCTTGTGCATGTTCCCTTTGATGAAGTAGGCTTTGGAGGGGGGGATGGGGCAGGATGTGGATTCCTTTTACCGAAATCATTGGGAAATGGCTCCTGTTAGTTCAAGGGACTAAGAAATTGAGTATCTGACTAAATTTGCTATGCACACACAGTACATTTTCCTTACCTGTGCACTTTGGCTAATATCCAGCCCGAAGTATTAGATAAGAGCTAGGTGGTATCACCTTATTATCCAGTGCATAAGGGAGGCAAAATACCCATTTGCTATTCAGCAGCTGCTGAGCCATTTCACAGAGGCTGCTTTATGAAGAGGAATGGCTGAAGTCGTTTATAGGGGAACTTATGCCATCCCCTGTGGAAGTGGTGGGAAAAGGAGGATCCACACAGCAGCATAGTCCTGCAATGCACAGTTCTTACATGCTTAGCACCCCCATCTCTTTGCCAAAAAGGGAGGGGGGGAGGTGCACTGGTTTCAGTGCAGTGGGACCTAATGCAGCACTAGCTGCTGGATTTTTAGGAGCTTAGCACAAACTCCATGTAAAATCGACTACATGTGCAGTGAGAGTTTTGGTGAATTGTAAGTAAATCAGATTGAAATAGTTTTCCACTGCAGCACTCGGCACTTCTCAGTGAGACCTATTTCCATGCCAGAGTTCAACTTTTTTTACTCTCAGCTGTTTTGACTATTGAGCTTTTTTTTCTAAAAAAACCCAAAAACGCACTTTTTACTTTGCGGAGTGTAAGTTAATACGCGGTGTTTAGCATGGACTCATCTGTAGTTGCTGTGGCTGCTATTATGTCTGTGGGTTATGTCTGCTTTTCATTAATGTCTTAGGACCCCCAAAATGAAAATAGCATAGGTTGGCTGTCTCTGTAAGAGTTCTCCAACTCTGGCTTAGACCTATTCAGGAAAAAGCAGCTCATGGTTTATGTCATAAGCATTGTTTAGTCATTGACGCTATTGTATAAGGGTAGCTATTAAAGTCTGAACTGTTCTCTTGCCTATAACTATATCTCTGTATTACTGAATGACATAATCTTAGCTTTCTCTTGCACAATTTGCTTTTAAAATTGAATGTGTTTGCATAAAGTCTTACAAACTGCTTACTAATCAAATGGTTGTTTCCCTGTACAGAATATATACATGAGACATATGCTTGGGAGTGCTTTATGTTTGCACTAGCTATTTTTGTCACAGTGACTAATCAGATTCATAAGTGGTCCCATTCCTACTTTGGGCTGCCTCTATGGGTCACAGTTTTGCAAGATCTGCACATCATTTTACCGAGGAACCACCACAGAATCCATCACGTAGCACCCCACAAAACCTATTTTTGCATCACTGCAGGTAAAATAAAAACTCTGAGAACCATGACATGTCTCATGTTGTGACATGGGGGGAGGGAGGAAGAATTTAGAAAGTCGAAAAAATGTATTGCTATCGGAATGGATTATTGCACACTGGATATTTTTCATTTGGTGCTGCTTCCTAATAAGATGTGTTCACTTTAAAACTGGAGTTTTAAATACATAAATCTGGTGCTTTCTAGAGTGCAATGCTGAGAATTCTTTATCTTTCATGCTAAGTTAGACTGTTAGAAACTCTACTCATAGAGGAGAGAGATTTTTCAATGTTATACAGTACTGTCGTATTACAGGAACAGTTTTATGTAGTAGCATTCAACCCTTCATATATTGTATGATGTGTGTATCACAGATAGTAACATATTTGTATAACTGAATGTAACACACATAATTGGCAAACAAATACTGCAGTAACGTCAAAAAATTTTTATTTAACATATCTGTGCTTATATTAAAACTCCTTCTCTGTAAATTGTTAGCTGTAATTTTAAATTGACTAGAAATTCTATAAAAGGAAATATGTTTTTAGATTGCTCATGGCTTCAAGGATAGAAGCTACTTATGATTTAGTGAAGCTAGTTTGTACCAACTCTGTGTTGATGATTCTTTGGTACTGTTTCAAATGAATCCATAATCATCTACTAAGTTTTTTTTTTTTTATTTACTCCATTATTGAGGATGCCTTTAAAAATTTGTTTTGATCGTCCATGCTTTAAAAATAGATCTCAAATAGGTTTCAGAGTAACAGCCATGTTAGTCTGTATTCGCAAAAAGAAAAGGAGTACTTGTGGCACCTTAGAGACCAACCAATTTATTTGAGCATAAGCTTTCGTGAGCTACAGCTCATAGGGTAATTTAAGTGGAAAGCGTTTATAATGCCCACAGAAGGAGTATTGAGATTGGGGCACTGAACAGAATGCACGGATCTGAAAGTACAGTGATCTAGTGGTGCATAAAAGATAGTGAATGAAGCTCAAGAGAACGATTCCCAGGCTAGTAACAGCTTGTCTTCTCAAGGATGTGATACTCTAGAAATGTAAGAATGCATGGCAGCTGCGGAAGAAAGAGAATGGGGGCAGAGGGCGTTAACGGTGCTTTGCAACAGTCCTTTGACATGTACTTTAAACATTATCATTAATGTATGGGTTGGCAATGGCCTTAGGTTATGCTTAAGAAGAGCAGTAACTAGCAAGTTATAATATTTTAGCAAGGGGAAAGACAAAAAAGAGACATGATTGAAAAAATATTTTTAACTCCCAACACTTTTACCTTTCCAGGCTGGCTAAATTACCCATTGGACAGAATAGGATTTTGGAGGAAAATGAAAAATATCATAGAAGCATTAACAGGTCAGAAACCTCAAACTGATGATTTACATGCAATAAAGCACTCTTAAAGGAAAAAAAAAAAAGAACTACTATGTCATCTACAGAAAACAAGCATCTCTTTAGCACCATGGATTTTAACCTCTGGCACAATGAGTTTATGAAAACTTTGAAACTCTGCAGAGCATTGCTTGCAATGTCACACAAAAATTTGATGATTTGCCAGCTTGGATATCCTAAGGAGTTGAAATACAATGGTATTTGGAACATACAATAATTGAATGTAATTGCTAATCTTGATTGGTTTTAAGAGACTATTATGCCTGATGTTGTATTTATTAGGACTTCTGTATCCTATTACTGTACTTGGGTGGATACTCACAATGCATCTGACTTCATAAATGCACCCAGAAAAAAAAGATATGTTAATTAACATGAAGTACCTTTTGGCTTCAGTGCAAGTAAGATACATAAATTGGCTTTGTGCCATTGTATGCTGAAGAGTTTGTATTGTTTAATTTGCATGATGCAATGCTTCAGTATAGGGCTAAAAAGTAATTTGACTAGATCTTTATTTTTAAACAGCCGAATTTTAAACTTCTGTGTTTTGGTCATGATTTTTAAACTGAGATTCCATTTGCCACAGTTTTGCAACCCACAATGATTTGTTCACTCAATTTTTCCCTTTAATCCGTTCATTCATTTATTTTCCTGCAGGTATAAAATGTGGAGGCAATCTACTGTAGGTACAAAATTGCACCAAAAGAAATGAAGCTCAGGTTTGAAAATTATGCCTTTTACACTGTTTAATACTAGGAAGTCTTAACCACTGTTGTTTGTTGTTGTTAAATGTTTATATTTCAGAGGCTCCACTCCAAATTAGTGGTTTCCATTTTGTAGGCTCAGCACAAGGACATAGTGCCTACCTCAGTGATCTTATGATTTGAGTAGACAAACAACATACAAATAATGGGGTCCGTAACTGTGATTTTAAATTCTTTAGAATGAATGAAATCTTAATTTAACTAAAATTAATGTCTTGATTTTTGAAAGGCATATTTCAATGAGATAAATACGTGCATCTTAGAGCCATCTGTAATATACTTATCAAATGAAACCCCCCTTACCAAATTGCTCGAGTGGAGCATATTGTAGGGTTGTTATTTTTTTAATGCTAGGAAGCAGATTTACCATGAGTCTTTGACCTGATTCTGGTTTCACACTTTTATATGTCGGTGTAATGCCACTGATTTCTATGGAATTGTATCTGACTGAACCCTGATGAGATAAATGAGATAAAAATCAGTCTCTGGTTCTTAAACTTGGAATCTATCTTTCACCTGCTGTCCCAACCCCCCCAAAATGTTTTTTTTTGAAAATATCTTGGGAATGGGGCAGAATTTATATTCAGAAAAAGCCAAAATGTTAGTGTGTCAATCTAGCTAAGCTGATTGTTGGGCCCCTTTGCATCTGATGTCCGATCCACAACTATTGTCTGCAGATACTACCGATATAAAGCGGCTATCCGCAGATTTTCAGAGATCTACTGATTGGAAAGGGGCACTCTTGCATGTGTTAAATCATTAGGAGGAGAGAGTAGGGGATTTTTTCATGTGCAGAGCCCTGAATAGTGTTCATCTGCAAAATGGTATGGTGCTAGGTTAACAGTGCTGAACAGTGAAGAACTTTGCCTCTCCTTAAAGGCTAATCCTCAGCAATACAGGTTTGTGGTAATAATTCAGCTGTTGGCTTTAGGCACCAGCCATCCATGATCATGACCGCAGCCAAGTCTCAGACGAAACAAAAATGTCTGTTGCTTATTCCTGTTGTCCTGCAAGATTTTTTTCCCAGTAAAATGATCCCATATAAATTGTGAACTTGTTCTGAATACTTGCTACAATTGTCAAAAGCAATTAAGGTCCCATTTGTAATCAGTGAGACTTAGGCACTTACGTCACTTTGGCACCTTGGAAAATTTTACCCACTATAAACAAGTTGACAGGCTCAGTCTAAGTACATGCAGTTAAAATGTTAATTGACTAACAATCCCATATAGAAAGTAGGGTGGCCAGGTGCTTGGTTTTTTACTGGAAAATCTGGTCGAACAGGGGACCTGACAGTGTCTGGTCAGATCTACTGATTGGACACTCAAAGTCTGGTTACTGCGGGGGGCGATGTGCCGGGTCATCACCTGTGCCAGCACCTACTCAGCCAGGGCCGCTCCCAGCCCCGGCTCCACAGGTGAGTCCCTCATGACCTGGGTGGGGAGGTGGGAGGGGAACAGCAGTGAGCGACAGGATGGGGGGGACGAGGAGTAGATGGAATGGGGCCTCAGGGGAAGAGGCGGGGCTTTGGGGGGAAGAGGCAGGGCAGGAAAGGTTCTGGAGAGGTTCAGGAGAGGTTCTGCTGCTGGAGTGTTGGGTTTTTATCTGAACCCAAAGGGGCAGAACAACCACTCTGGCAAAACCAGGAAACCGGTTACTAGGATTTAGGAACACTGATATGTGATTGGTTGACATGACTATTGGGGCCTACTCCTGGGAGATGCAGAACACCCATGATTCCTGTTAAAGTCTGTAGGAAACAGAGCGGGAGGTTGACACATTCCAGGATGGGGCCTTCCAGAATACGGTCCTTATGGCACACGCAGTGTGGTTTGTTGAAGGTGATTTTATTTCCTTTTTTCCTACCATGTTAACAAACATTTCACATACAACAATTTAAACTCTTTGGTGGTTTGTGTGTGTGCACGCAGCAAACTGAACATATTGTATAACAGGACCTATAACTCACATTTATGAGGAAGAGGGAAGTTAAAATTAAAAAAAACAAAACCATTTTGTAAAAAGGGGAGCTGAAGCTATTCAGCTGCTTCTGATCAGGCCACGGGCATGTTGTTCTGCCACCGTGAATGTGTGATGTAGTGTAACTCCGATGGCTGGGTTGGTACAGTTATCTTTAGGGTTCCCTCTTACGGCTTGGTGTTGCTAATACGGTTTTGTTTGTTATTAATGTGTTGATCAGAGATTCGATTGTAGTAAAAGGGGGTTAGATCTAACGACAACCAATTGGAATCCAGTCTGAGCCAGTGGGAGTAAGTGAAATACAATATTCTAATAAGTGGATCTAATTTTGGTTATTCAAATAACATCTTTTGAATCCAATTAGCCTTTTTTTTACTAACCATAACATTTTGAAAAACTGTGTAAGTTGATTTCTCTTATTTTTTTTTAAAAAAAAAATCAAAACATGAAAAGCTTTAAAGGATAGCAACAGATGGGAATTAATTTAATGTGCTGTTGTCATAACTTCGGAAAATTACAAACTGATCTAATGACAGTAAAATTTAGGGTAGGGAATTTAAGCTCTACACTGCCCTACTGAGGTTTGAAGAGAGAACAGTATTGATGTCGATTTCAGATTCCTTCATATGGGGATGAATGTCTATGTGAACTCCTGATTCCTTACACAACTGTAGCAAGGTGTTAATATTGCTCTGTGACAAACGTAGGTATCTGGATAAAAGAAAAAAGAGAGAGCAAAAGTATCTTGCAAGTATCTCAAAAACTTTGGTCAGAATTTCCATATGTGGTGTATAGCAATAGGCACATAAATCTAATTTTTGAAAACTAGGTAAAAATGGTTTGAAGTCAAGAATGGGAGCTTATGGGTGCTCAGCACCTTTGGAAATCAGGTCCTCTATTAAGTTTCTGATTTTAGGTATTTGTGTTTCAAAACATTGAGCTGTATTTTTATTTTTATATACCTAGAGTCAAATGAAATAATTTGCAAACTGCAGATTTTCAGGGTTAAGATGGTTACTCTGTATGTCTACAAGGTATTTTTTGCCTCTGTTTTAAAGCTTTCCCTGGATTGCACTCTCTAGCAGTAAGGATATTTGATATTTCAAATGGTTCTAAAAAGAAGTAAGCATTTCTCATTATCATTCATCATCATTTTGAACCAACCCACATTACTAGTCACCATTAAAAGGTCATTTGCCAAAAGCTAGCACAAAATGCTACATGCAGTTATTTCCTATGCAAGCTCCAGAAAATAAATATTTTGTGCAGCACTATATGCTAGCTGTTGTTGGGAGAGAGTGATGACTTAATGATACCCATTATACCTATTTTCATTTATCTGTAAACTATGGGGGAGTCCTCTTTGCTATTTTCACAAAACATTTTCTAACCTGCAGCTCAAAAATTCTTCAGGTCTGATCTGTGGCAGAGTCACTGTTTGTTTGAATTTTTCCTCTTCCCAAGCTCTTTCAAGCATGCCCTTCAGCCTTCTTTCAAATGCTGGGGATCCAGAGGCTGTTTCATGCAGATGAAGTTTAGAAAAAGAGAACTTCTCTCCTGTTACCGATAGCTTTTGCAAGGAGGGAAACATGGATATTGCCTCTTGCATGGAGAAACTGTTGTTATCCACGTAAAGTTGTCTTGCACTGACATCCTTCTTGGAGACACTGGCAGTTGGGTGAGGATTGTAAAAGCTGCCTCTTGGGCCATAGGAAGTTCCAGCAGATACTGTCTGCATGGACAAGTCAGTTCCACTGAAGGGTGTGAAATCCTTGGAGTGTTTCTGGTCTGAAAAAATCAGAAATATTAAACGGCTTCTCTCTCTCTACTCAAGGTGCTTATATGGGCTCTATTACTATAGTAGCTGAGCACCTGACAATCTTTAATGTATTTATCCTTACAACACCCTTGTGAGGTAGGGAAGTAAGATTATCTCCATTTTACAGGTAAGGAATTGAGGCATAAAAAGACTACATGATGCGTCCAAGGTCACACAGAAAGTCTGTTGTGGAGCAAGGAATTGAAACCAGGGCTCCCGAGGCCTAGATTAGCACTCTAACCATTGGCCCATCCTTTCTCTTCTATTGCTTAACAAATATTTTCCATTTTGAGACCATTGTTATATTGTAATTGCTGTGTAGAGCTGTAGAAGTAGATTATAGATTTCTTGGCAATAGATGCCTGTTGACTATTATAAAATATTTTGAAAATAAAATACAAGTCTGGATGTTTAAAGCGTGCCATCTCCAGGATGAAATTGGCAAAGGCCTTGTCTACACTATGGAGGGGAGATCGATCTAAGTTGCGCAACTTCAGCTACATGAATAACATAGCTGAAGTCAACGTACTTAGATCTACTTTCCCTGGGGTCCACACTACGCTATGTCTATTGGAGACACTCTCCCGTCGGCTCCCCTTGCTCTTTTTGTTCAGGTGGAGTACAGGAGTTGATGAGAGAGCGATCAGCGGTCGATTTAGCGGGTCTTCACTAGACCTGCGAAATCAACCGTGGATGCATCAATTGCCATTTGTCAAAGCCCTGGTAAGTGTAGACAAGCCCTCAGTGAATCTAGTTTTGCACCAGTTTTGGACCTAGTCTTCTGGATCTGTACTACTTGGGAATGGAGCTGCTTAAGGATGAAGCCTCCAAAGAACTCTAATGACAAGTAAATGTTTTCCTTTAAAAAAAAAAATCTGCTTTTTGTTGTTGCTAATTCAGAGAGAACCATGTACATTGGTTGCTGTTAAAAATATCAGAATTATCACTGTTTATTTACTGTTCTAAGTTTGACAAGCTGTGGTATCTGATAGCAAATGCTGAGATTTTAGTGGTAACCACTATTACCTGTTAGTTTGTAAATAAGAACAGTATGTTTTTCTAAATTGTAATATTATATAAAGTTGAACATAAACTGGGAGATTTTTCTCTGATTCATATAGAGTACATTAAATACAAAGCTCTGCCTTCTAAAATA